CTGCAGATGGACTGCAGGGGCCTGCCAGGAGGCAGATCGGGCTGGGGACAGCAGCTTTGGCCCGTCCCCTCCCCATTCCTCGCAGACACAGGCTGTGGGACATACCCTGCCCCCGGCTTTGGGAACTCCCCGGCCAGCAGCGGGTCCTGCATCTCCCGTGTCTGAGCGTGGTGGTTCCCACCTGATGAGGGGCAGGCGGTGCCACGGGGACCCACAGACCAAACCCAACTCCTGCCTGCAAGCACAGGCCCCTCTCTGGACAAAGCCCAGCGAGCACCTCCTGGAAGCCCCATCCTTGGGGCCCAGGCAGCCGGGACAGCCACGCTATAGGTGACCCTCAGTCCCTGCAGTCACCAAGGAGCTGCACAGTGCTGGGGCAGGTTCAGCCCTTTCCTCTCCAGCAGGCCCAAGGCTGCAGTGGCTCACACTCCCACAGCCGTGGGGCAGTGCTGGAGCACAAGCCTTGCACACCCATCCGAGCAGCACCGCAGCACAGTGCAGGCATCCCGTGCTGGTGGAGGCAGCTGTTCAGCTCCTCAGCACAGAGTGAGCATATGCCATCCCATTGCACCTGTCCAGGCAGGTCCCACAGGAGCCAGGATCTCAGCAGGTAGGCAGGGAGGTAGGAAGGGGGTGAGAACGCAGGAGCATGGTGTTATCACATTCTCCTTAAATATCCGTGCCATGCTCACGCAGCAGAGGAAAGGAGGCCAAGGGGCCCAGCCCGCAGCTCCCCTCGCTGGCCCTGGCCGGGAGCACCGGCGAGTCCCTGCCAGGATGAACAAACCCGGCAGCAGCTCCTGGCCAGCGGGAAGCAGCCCCTGCTGCCGGCTTGGCCAGGGATGGGCTCTGGCTCAGCAGAGCTGCTCGGCTGCCAATGCTACAACGGGCTCATCCTCAGCAGGGATTCTTTGGGGCACCTTCTTCCCCCCATGCAGCACCAGCCTGATCCACGTTTGGGTCCCGGTGCAGGGCACAGAGGAGGGTGGCGGCACAGGTGTCCCCTGGGCTGGGCTGGATCTGTGCCGTGGCTGACACTTGGCCCCTGCTCCAGGGATGAGGTAGTGTGCAGAGGGCTGCGGTCATCCTTCCGGAGAGCCGCAAGGGGCGGGCAGGTGCGGCAGAGGGTCGCACCAGCTCCCGGGCTGCTGCCGATTGTTGCCGGGAAAGCGAGGAGCTGCTCCGGCACTCATGAAATCAGCACCTCTCTTGGAAACATGAGCCCACCAAGCGATCCCTCTTCCTACACGCCCACAGCAGGACAGCCCGTATTGCCAGGAGTGGAGGAGAAGCCCAAGACTCCTGGGGTCAGAAGATAAGACTCATTGCCCCATGGACAATTTTTTAGGTTTTCAGGTTTCTCTAGTGGTGATTTTTAGCAAGAGGAGCAAGAGCAGGGTGTGGACTTCTGCATAGCCCCCACAAGAAGCGGGAGCAGAGTGAGGAAGCAGCGGGATCTACAAGGCACGGGGAAAGGCAGAGGCAGCACCACAGCCGTACCCTGCTGCCACCCATCCCCACTGCACTGCTCCCTAGAGTGCATGGCTGGCTGCTGGCACTCGTGCCAGGCAGGAGCTACCTCCAGTTTCTACAGGAACCAGATCAAGCCTTGAAACTGAGGGCCTTGCTGATGTGGTGGTGGTGAGCTCACAGCTGATCCTGCAGTTTTGTGCTATCCTCATAGGGCAACGCCATGTCCATGTCCATCAGCCTGCTGCCACCGAGCCAGGAGGTGGTGAGGTCCCTGCAGACACACACAGCACCAAGGGCAAGAGCCATTATAAGGAGAAAAATACCACTGAAAGATAAAAATAGTTACTTAAGCTGCAACCATCGATTGATCATGGGCACGATGCCACCCTGGTGGGAGCCCCCAACACGTGCACCATCAGCAAGCCCTTTGCCAGCACACAGCAGAGGTGCCAGCAGCTCCTGGAGGTGAATCCTTCACTGCCACCCGGGAGCCTGGCCGGGGATCTGGGCAGACAGGGACAGTGACAAGACCAAGACTTGAGCCTCCAGAGCGTGGTTCACATCACACAGGGAAGGGTGCACGAAGAGAGGCAAAGTTCACAGGCAGTAAATACTCTGATCTTTGATCCCCTTAATAAGCTGGTGCTAGCCCAGGAAGAAAGCCGGGAGCGGGGCAGGGAGCGCAGCAGGGCCCGGCCCTCGGGGCACACAAAGGAGGCACTGTGGCCGCAGATGCGCTCTGGCCACACGCCGCTGCACAGCCCCTTCATTCATGCCACGCTCCCGCCGCCGCCGGGGTCAGCGACACCTCCCCCCCGGGCCTGGCACCCCCGGGTCAGGGCCAGCACCGGCCCCGGCGGCTCTGACACGGCCCTGGCGCGCTCCCAGGGGCTGAGCGCCCCGGACACGCCGTGCCCAGCACAGCTGCTCTGCACTCCCTCAGAAAAACGCATTTTAAGCTGCTAAGAGCTTACAGCAGGAGGCTGCCCAGCAATGCCCTGCCACAGCAGCCAGGGTCAGCACACACAGCTGCCTCTGGACACGCGTGTCCCGGGTCAGGGTGGGAGCCCGAGAGCCCTGGCTGCGCTTCGGACAATCCCCACAGGGGCTGTCCTGTCCCCAGGCAAGGGGCGGGAGGCAAAGGCAGGTTGTATCTGCATGGAATCTCCCAGCAGCAGGAGAGCCCATGGGGCTCCAGGCCAGACTGAGCCCTCCAAGAGGAGTCCCTCATGCTGCAGCTGCTGCAGAGAGACGCGGGTGCTCCAGAGCAGCAGCGGGGCAAGGGCTGCACCCATCGGGCCCAGCTGAGTCAGCACCGCACGGCTGGAGCCAACATGGAGCTCTCTGGAGCTGCTCAGGGCCATGGAGCTCTCTGGAGCTGCGCTGTTCATGGAGCTCTCTGGAGCTGCTCAGGGCCATGGAGCTCTCTGGAGCTGCTCAGGGCCATGGAGCTCTCTGGAGCCGTGTTGCTCAGGGCCATGGAGCGGCTGCGGTGGCAGCTGCCCTCTGCAGGCACCGGGACAGGAGCGGGACCCTGCCTGGCCCCACAGCAAACACTGAGAGCCCGGCGGCTCGAACAAAAACAGCGAGCTGGAGTCTGCACCAGCCTCTCCATTCTGCAGAACCCCCCGCCCCTGCACTCAGCAGCTTCCCGTGGGGTTGGGGAGAGCAGCACGAATACACTGCACTTCATTTTCTTGGGTATACACTCAAGACCTTCCTAAAATTACACTAATACAGGTGAATCCCACTGGAACCTGTACACACAGGAACTCTGGCAGACTACCTGCTCAAAGTTAAATGCATTTATTGATCTTTTTGCAAGATCACAGCTCAGAAGAGTGATTTAACAAAACCCACCTGCACAACGCTGGGCAACCACATCGACGCAGGAATCAGGAGACATTGGAACACAGCATTTCTCTTACAGAACACAATTTATTTGGCATTTGGATGAAATGTTTCTCACAGCATCTTGAAAAAAAAAAAAGATTAGTGCCAACCCCAAAGAAGTTAAAAACAAAAACCAGTGTCACAGGGACTCAATTATTATAGTATCAAATTTAAATTCTACATGGTATTTCACAGAATATCAAAATCTTTTATACACTGCCACAGTTAAGTCCAGTCACAAACCAACTACACAGGAGAAGCCTGCAAGTGCAGCGCTGGCTAAAATGATTTTCCAGAGGAAAGTACAAAGCAGTGTCTCATTCTCTCAGAGCCTCCCAGGCACCCTCAGCCCAACACACAGGGATGGTGCAGCCCAGCCACCTCTGCTGGCAGCAACCCTGACCCACGCAACACTCGAGGGGCACATCCTAGAAAATTAAAGCTATGTGGTACCGTAGCAGGCAGGCAATGCTGACTGTTATTGGGGAGAAGCACATCTTCATCACTGAAAGCATCTATTCCAAGGAAACACCTACTTCACTTGGGACTGGGGAACATGAGAAGCAAACATGAACTTTGATTCACCTCCTCTACACTCAACTGCTCTAATTTTATGGTCCAGCTCCCAACTTGCAAGGGAAACTTAAAAGAAATTTCTGCATATTACATGTTCCTTAGCTAGGGATAAAAAAGACGTTCCAGCAACTGAAAAAAAGAGATGCACATTATGGATTGTACGAGGCAACATTAAAACATCAGTGTTTTGCCACTGAGAAGTCACATCTGAAAGATAAAAACATCTTTAAGTACCAGGTTCAAATTCATTTAACATGAGATGGGAAAAGAATGGTAATAATTACTGGTCACAAAAAACATTTTCTTCCAAAGTACTGAAACAGGCCATCACCCCATGGCACCTGTGGAGGCAGAGCACCCACCAACTGTGAGATTCAGCCTTCAGAAAAAAATGTCCACCTACTTCATATTTCATCTAGATCAGTGTCCTGCCATGCATGGCTGAAGGAACAGTCTGAGGCTCAAAGCAAACAGGACTGAACCCTACACAGACAAGCTCCTCGCACACCTGAATGATGGGGCTGATCCTGCACAACAGAACCCACCACCCTGCAACATTTCAGCTCTGAACTCTCCCAGTACAGGGCCAGAGGCTGCTGTGGGACTGTGGATGGGCATCACTGACAAACCAGAGTGTCTGGGGCTGCTCTGGAACAGCAGAGGCCTCAATATGGCACCACAGAATGGGGAAGCTGAGGAGCAGCTTTGTTTGAGGCCACAGTGGGACAAGACCAGCCCGGCACAGAACCAAGTGCTGGGACTTGACAACAACTGCAGTCAAGGGCAGCCCGAGAAAAACTCACCCTGGGCTCCCCCAGGCTGCTGGAAACCATGTGGCAATGCTGTCTCCCTGCTGGGGCTGCAGGGACATTCAGGATGCGCCAGATGTTAAGAACATCCAGAGATGTGAATGGCAGTGGGGAAAAATCAATGCAGAAAGTAACTCCAAAGATCTCATCACTGAATGGCAATCAAACCAGAGAGGTTTTTCCTGGGCAAGCACCAACTCTCTGTCATCAGCCCTCGGACAAACTGCCCACCAGTCACCTTGCCAAGGTTTGCTGAGGAGTCCACTGCTGTCAAGAAAACTCTTAACTCTTCCCCAGTTGGTCCAGCAGTCTGAGTAGTTGAGACATTTTCTGCTACAAAGGCTCTTACTCCAAGAGAAAGTACTCAATGTGAAAAAGCTACATTAAAGGAGGGGGAAATGACAATTTTATTGCCAAATTAGAAGCTCACCGAGAGGTAAATGAGTTGTACTTAGTGAGCTGCTCCATTCAAGGCAGAATTTCCCTTGTTTACATTTAAGATGAAGAAGGATAGGGGAAAACAGAAAATAGCAGTCTCCTGCCAATATACAAGTGGGAAAGGCTCAGAAGCAATGGGGAAAATATCACACTGAGGCTTCTACAAAGAAGCCTCCATTTGGAATAGCTACAACCAGGAGCCACAATGAAGTTGCCAGTTGTAACAGAGCTTATTTGCAAATAAAATTCACCACAGAACCAAAAGTAAAATACAAAAGTATTGAACAGATTCCCGCAGTGTTAGGAGAAGTGTGAGGTAAGGTTATCTGTTCACCTCAGCCACAAAATACAGCCTCAGAGACTGAACCAAGCCAAAAGGCTTTTTGTTATTGCGCTAGGATAGTACAAAGAACAAATATTCCATCTGGCTTCAAAAGAAATTGGAAATTTTCTACTTTGCACTGCTGACAAAGTATTTTTCAGGAACAGATTGTAGTAGCATAGACTTTGCATCCTATTTAAGTGTACACTATCACAGCCTGTCCTACAAGAGAGTGTAGCCAGCTCAAGAGAAGTATTAACCCTAGAGCCTAATTTCTATCTCAGTGCTTAGCTTCACCTAGCTGGACGCAGCACAAAGGTTACTGTCTACAGTATGTATAGATATATATATATATGTGTATGTATATATATATATATCACCACCCAGAAACACACACACGCACACACGCATTCGTACCTAGAAAACTAAAGAAAAATCAGTACATACAATGTATAAAACGTATGAATGTGCTCAAAAATGCACAAAACCCGCTTTATTTTCATACTTCAGAAATGCTCAATAATTTGTATGCATGGTTCTGACTACTGCTATCCATCCACTTCATTAGACCAGGACTTGGAACTCGGAGAGGACTCGGTCAGAGATCCCACAGGGTGGAGAACTGCTCCTCTCGTTTCGTACCACTGCTGCTGGAGCCAGGCACAGCAGAGAGCAGGATGGGGTGGTGGAACAGCTCCAGGCAGAGAGAGGCTTCCTCCCAGGGCTTCCTCCCACTCGTGTGCCAGCAGCGCTCCCAGAACTGTGATTCACGCTCCCGCTGGAGTCAGGGCTGTCTGCAGTGTCTGCAAGGCGAGACACCAGCTACGACCTCGATAACCAAACTCACAGTTTTCTGTGCAAAACGAGTGGAACTGTCAAGACCAATCCCCAAGTACAGTATAAGCCTATAGGCAAGACAGGGAATAGAAAGTAGCAGCATATTCCATGGGGAAAGAGTCAGCTGCACTGGGAAACCACAACAGTGGGTTAGGATTTGTCATACAAGTATGATTTCTCATAATTACTAGAAAAATAGATCACATACACAGCCCCATGCAATGCTTTCTTCCTGTCCCTCTAGGCTTGTACCCTTCATAAGGTAACAGGAGACCACTCACAAGAGGCATTCTTTACAAATTCCTTAAAATTCATCTCATCTGCTGACTATTACAGTAAGTCAAGGAGAAGCAGAGGCAATGGGAGTATGGGAGAAAAGGGTAAACTATTTGTACACTGAAATCCAAACTTAAATTTAAAATTGCCTGTAAAGATTATTTTATACTCATTATCAAAACCAACAGTGCTTGACTTTGGGTATCGTGAGGGATTGAATGAATCTTTGCCATCTGTAAATTAACTTAGCTTAAAGAGTTCAATACGAGGGGGAAATTTAAGTTGACATATCAGACTGAAGCAAACTGCTTTATTGATTTAAGTACACTAACCTCATTATAACCCCTTGTGGGACCTGGATAAATGGCTTGAGGGGCACAGGGGAAATCTCCAGAACAGGGTTGGCTATTTATGGGACTGAGATAAGGAAGAGGTGTCCAATTAGAATTAAACATCACCTATAGTACATGTTGATCACCGTTTTTAAGTGGTATTTGTAGAACTGTAAAGAAGTGAAATGAAGGGGAGGGAACACACATGCTAAATATAGCATGCAATAAGAAAAGCAAGAACAGTGGTCTTGTATCCAGGCCAATTTTGTGCAACCATTCACTGTAAAGAAGTTAAACCAGAAAGAAAATACCCTAATCTTACTTATGGGATTAGAACAAACAGGGGCTTTACACAGTGAACTCAGGCTGCATCAAAGTTAATTGCCCCCCATCTCTTCCCTAAAACATTTCCTAACACACATGAGGGTTCTACTAAAGGGACATCACACACCCAGTTTTCTTGGTGGGCCAGAAGTTTATCCAACAATACAACAAGTAACTGTCATTGCAAATCCCGTTTCTCTCAGTACCCATTTGTCACATATTGCGTAGGCCACTCCTGCTCCAGCTCCTCTGGTGTTCTGATCAAGGCACTGTGTTTTACACAGTGTAACTCCTGATGGCATGTGTCCCACTCCATAAAACAGGCCTCCAGCCCCCTCCTCTGCAGCTCCATCTTCTCTGCTTGAACAGTGATTGCCCCCACCCTTCTTTTCCATTGTCTGTTTCCTGGGTCCAGTGGTATCCAGCCAAATCCAAGCAGCTTTTTTCTGATGTAGATTTTGATTCCTCTCAGGTTAAGAAAAAAAAAAAAACAACCCAAACTACCCATACTTCTCACCTCCTCAGAAGTCAAAGGAATTCTCTGCTCTCCTTTCCATAGCCAATGGAAAAAAAGAGCAGTTGTACAATCCATATTTACAGGACAAATTGATTAGTGAATGAATAACGACAGCCAAAAACGAGAGGTACGATCCTAATCTAGAACATAAAAGCAGTGTTTGAAAAACAAAGTGGAGATTCCTTCTGAAGTTCAAGCCACGGATTAGTGTTTGTCTGTGCAAACAGTTGCTAAAACTCAGAGCGGTGCTGGGCGCTTCACTCCTTTATACAATGGTGTTGAGGGAACAGTGGCTGTGGCGGCTGCCTGTCAAAGTTTCTGCTGGGGTGTTTTCATTTGTGGGTGTGTCAGGAGGGACAAGAAAGGTGCTGCTGTCAGCAGAGTCTTCCAGCTCCACTGGAGAAGGACCAACTGAGGGAGGAAGCGACCCCTCTGTCAGCTGTGGGGATACATCACAGTTTCCTAGTGATGGAGGACTGCTTTGCACAGCCTGAGAAAGAACTCCATCTGCAAAGGACAAAAAACCAAGCAGAATCAGAACGTGAAGTTTACCATTTCCCATTCCCAAACAGATTTATGATCCATACTTCTGGGAGCTCTGAGTTTTTCCTGGTTTTGAGCTAATGCACAACAAGATGAGACTGCAAAGAGGAAAAGTGTGTAACAAAAATAAAACTTTGACATATAAATAAGATGCTTGCACTAATCAGGCTCACTTATCCTGTGAAATATGCTGCTATAAAATCCCAAATTGGAATGATTTCTACAGTATGTGAATATCACAGCTGCAAAACTGAAGAGCACTGGGTGAATCATTAGACAGTGGTATTTTTGGTCAATTTTTGGGGGGTGTGGGTGGGGGAAGCAGGGAGGAGAGAAGAGGCTGGATACATTTTATCCAGAATCTCTTGTACTTGACATTTGTTCTACTTCTTAATACCAAACTCTATCAACCTATCTTCAAAAGGCCAAAAATGGTAGCAGCATGTTAGAAAAAAGGTAACCAGCTAATCCATCCAAGGTTAGGCTCAAAAATAGGTAAGGTTTAAGAGGTAAACTGCTTACAGATTGGATTCCACTGCTAATTTAGGTGATTCAAAAAACCCTTGAGAAAAACCAAGCTTAATGATACATTTTAACAAAAGACTTTTCCATCACAGAAATTGCAGATTTTTGGGTAAAATGTCTTTTCCCATCACAATTGCTAAAACACATAATTATAGCTTAAAAAAATCCATCCTTTAGCCAAAATGGAAAAGCGGAAGAAAAGAGAAATTATTGTCTGCATACCTGGAGTGGAACAAAGGATGCTGTCTGGATTGACAGAAGCCTCATAAGGAGGAGGTGGGTCATCAGGATGTTGAATATCTGGGTACTTGTAAGCAGTATAGGGTGGAGGGGGATCGTGAAAATGAAATGCTCCACCTTCCCCATCGTCTGAAAGATGCAGTGGAGTAAGGCCAGTTCCAAAACCATCGGGGCCGTAATCAAAGCCAGGCATCCTGCGGCCCAAGTTGAAATGGTGCACTATTTCAAGAGAAGGAAAAGGAGTAAGTGACTTTATCTCGTGCTGTCTTCTTCAGTTTAAGTCAGATCTCAACACTTTTTTCCACTTTTCACACCCCAGGAACTCAGGTCTCCTGAAGACCTAGAAAAGTCTACATAACCCATCCAAGTCAACTTGCTGCAATTACACAATACCCAGGCCCACCTGCTCCCAGTCTGTTTGTCCTGCATCACATCTAAATTTGACTCTAACCTCTTCAAACTACAGACTATTGTTCACACAGAAGATATTTCAGATTTGGAGCACATACAAACAAAAATATTCTTCCATTATCCACTACAAAAGTTCAAGTTTGAAGACCCCACCAAGACACAGGCACAGCCAGGAAAGACGATGACATTTCTCCCCTTTCCATACCCCAGTGTGTCAATACCCAGCACAAGGAGAGAGCTGATACTCACAGTTAGCTCCAATCAGAGACTCAATGCGCTCTCTCCGCCTCTGGCGCAGCCGGTGCACCATGAAGAGCAGCAGGGAGAGGATGAGGAAGGAGGAGATGCAGCTCACGATCAGGCGCATTCCACCGGCCATGGAGTCAAACAGGCTGTTGCCATCTGTTCATCAAACACAGAAAAACAGCTTGTTATTTTTGTTCAAGCTTCATTTCTCTTGATGTTCTTCTGTCAGTAACGGAGAGATAAACGTAGAGTGGAGATTCATTAGCCTGGTTTAACACTTCTCCGTATTTCAAATCTGTAAGAAAATCATGAATCATCAGGTGATTTATCTTTTTACTGCAAGAAGATCTGAAAGTTTCTAAGAATATCTTCCTTGGGAAAAGGGGCAAAACGTTGAAGACTTTGGGCCTCAGAAAATTGGAAAAAAGGTTAGTGGCATTTTGCACATCCACTTGTTTCCTTGCATGGCTGATCATATTATACTAAAGAGGAAAAGGCTTGAGAACTGGCATATATATACACTACATAACTTCTGAACATCCCAACACTTCCATTTCCACTAAAAAAATCTCTGAACATTGTCACTGTCACCCAGATGTGGCTATTTAAATTCCACATGTCACCAGTACACTGGTCAGCACCACTAAGTGATTGGAACATGGTAATAGTCACTCAGGAACTGAAGAGATTAAGGTGAATGGGAATTAAACCCTTTGCTAGAATCATATCAAAAGCAAGTGGCAGAACAAGAAACAGACCCAGGAGCTCAGAACTTGGAGAGCTCTATCCCATTGTTAGCCAGACCCACACAGGGAAGGCTCTTGAGAACAAATTACCACTGTACTCCCAGCACCAGGCACAAGAGGCATTCATTTCTCAAATTCAGCTAATCCCCCTTGGTTATGCCTAAGCAGCACATGCACACACAGGTACTCCACACAAACTAAAATGACCTAAAGATGATGTACTGTGCTCTTTGCACTAACTTCCCACTGTAGAGTTCTGAATAAGAAAAACACCCAGGTTAGGGGTGGGTAAGAAACAGATGAGGTGGCTTCACAACGTGGTCACCTGCTGCCACAGGACACCAACACTAGCAGGGATGGCCTCTCTTCCCAGTCACTACCAGAGGAACCAGCCAGGCCCTGGCCACCTCTCCACACCCACTCCATATTTTTCCTTTCACTAACAGCAACTGAAGTTTTAGCAAAGATTCCTCATAAAAGAAGGCTTTTAGCCCTACAAAAATTTAAAGTTTAGCTTGCTACACATGCTAGTAACAGAAAAATCCACCTAATCTGTATCATTCCAGTCCATGGCTAACAGGCTGGCATTTATTATGTAACACCTCCGTGGCAAGAAGAAATCTATTTAATAGTGCACCACGCATAAAGCTCGAACATTACACCCTCTCAGATCCGGCTGTGCAGCACAAAAGCCTGGGTGCTGTCAAACCCTTTAGCAAGTACCACTGACAGAGCTTCAACTGCTGCAGTCACACACCTCCAACCAGCACAGCCTCCTGAACAGCACAGACCTGCCCTGCTCCTCCTCCATCTCACGGCCACACCGACTCCACTGTCCCTACAGAATACTCAGGGCTGTCACAGTAACACTGGAGTGCCTTTAGTAAAACACACTCATAGGTGCAGAGGCCCAGAGAATCTGACTTTAGTCATGGCATGGATTCTGGTAGTGCATTCCCCCTCTGCAGGCTGCACCATGATCTGAGAAACGCTCATTAGACCTTGATGAGTTGCACTTAGGCTAAGCCCTCTTGAGCTTATCAGAAACACTGTCTGTTCCCAGGAACTAACAGGTGTCTAAAGAACATCTGGTTTTTAATGAACAGCCTTGGAAACTTATTTTTCTTGCCTAAATAACAATCCACTTGGAGTGGTATTTTTGTTATTGCACCTTCAAAGAAAGTTACTGACTCAAACTGTAGCCAGGATGGAAAATTACTACAACTAGAGCCCATTCTCTTGTGACCCTATAAACAGGAGCCCAAAGTAGGATCCTTCTGATCTCTCAATTCCCAGATAAGGGGCTCATGTGTACATCTCAAACACCAACAACCAGGGGGCTGCAGAGCCAGCCAAGGACTGTTAGTAATAACAGAGACAAGAACTGTTGTTAATAACCAAGGACTACTGGTATTAACATGCCATGAGAAGGAACAAGATTTGTCTGGAGAAGAGAAGCCACGCGGAGATAGGGCAGCACTTTTCTGTGAGAAAGAACCACATCACAGTACAGTGCAGGAGCAAGAATGTGTGGCAGGAAGTGGGCATGGACTCTAGGGTGGGATTGAGATCATCACAGACACCTGAAGCCCACATAAATACAAAACTCATTATTTCAGAAAACTTGTTTTTACCCTCAGTAGTGCCCTGTAACTGCACCACTTCAGTCACTAGAAAAGCTTCAGCACATCAGTTCTTTCCAAGTATTTTATTTCTTCTACTAACTTTTCACAGCTGCAGGTCTGTCTTAACAAGAGTCACAAGAGAAAAATTATTTTCTACCACAACATGGAGCAGCAATAGACAGACTACCTTGGTTTCAAAATATTCCTCTGCTATTTATCTTTGGCTAAATGAGAAGCATCTTTTAAGTGAGTATAGCTGGGATTGCTCAGCTTACTCCTACCACTGAAAAATCCCCCTACTACCAAGTCCTTGAGTAATATTTGTTACCACTTGTAATCATTGCTCACCCACTCACACTGCAAGAGCTGATTACCTGCCAACCCAACAGCAGGATTTATTTCCCCCAGGTCTCTCCTTGGGTGATTAATTTACTTACTGTTGATTAGTAAACTGTTTTCTTTCATTTGCAACAGAACTTAGGGGAGATACATGAAAGAATCAGACAAAGATAAATACATGCTGATTAAAGAAAGTAATTCATTAATTTATGTCATCTGGAATAGTCATTTATAACCACCCAGAAGGAAAACTGAAATGTTTAATTTAAAATTTTCAGTGTTTATCACTAGCTGAAGGAACTTCATGATGAAAGAAGTCGGATGACTGCTTGATAATTCCTCTCTACAAAACTAAGTTTCTAAAAAATCCACCAGAACACTTCAAGCAAGAGTATAATGAAAGAGTCTCACTTAGCATCAATACAGAAGAAGAGCTTAAGGATGAGAAAGGATGTGGTAAAATACACTCTTCAAATCAGTATTCATGAAATAGTTAAGACCCACAACAATAAGCAAGGATTAAAGAACATGACACGAGGTTATCCCAGGCCATCCGATCCTGTCTGCTGGATGATGCTTTGCTGACACTGTTCCTGCAGATAAAAAAAGTGAAGCCTAAGTCTTAACTCAGCTGATAAGAGTGGGAGGAAGACTCCTGCTTTTTCCCCACTCTTTCAGTGCAGACCTGCCACACTAGCTGCAAACATCTGTTAAGCTTAAAGCTCAGAACAAATGTGACACAAGGAGAGACAGTGGCCTTTAATGATTAATCTCTCTGGTTAGGACCAATCAGACTGCAAATTTGGAAGCCAATAAGCACCCCTTTATTTGTAACAGATTGAAATAGAAGCCTCTGATGGAAGAATTGACCTTCTGCATTTTCCACAGGAGTTCAGAAAAATAATTTCTTAATGCACTCAGATAAGATTAGGTTCTTTTAAAATACCAATAAAAGCAATATTACAGAATGGCTGAGGTCAAAGGGAACATCCTGAGATCATCTAGTCCAACCCCTGTTCAAGCAGCATCAGCTGGAGCAGGACAGAGTCCAACCAGGCACTGAATATCTGCACAGAAGGCAATTCCACAATCTACTCCAGTATCTGACAGCTCTCACAGTAAACTCCAAGCAAGCTAAATTTCTTTTTTGTACAGAAAAATAACCTCCCCAAAATCTGCACCCCAAAACATTGACTGACAAACAGTTCAAAGTCAACTTCATTGACTTAATCAATTCAAAACAAAAACCTGCACTGATATGCCAAATCCAATAATTAAGGTAGTAGGTCCCGATTATTACTGAAACTCTATTTAATTTTAAAAACTCTGCTTCCCACATGATCCCTGCATGAACACTTCACACACATAAATATGCTCATGACCAGAAAAAGATGCTTAATTAGTGCTCAAGAGAAAAGTGTTTTGTTTTCATGACAACTAAACATGACAAAGGAAATGTACCAGATGCTCTATTAAAAACCCACAGTATCATCCCCCTCCAAACTGAAAATAAACTACTGCTTCTCCTTTCTAAGAAGCATCAGGGATAATTCATTTTAACCAGCCACAGCCTGAAGTGTTTCCCATGATTTGAGACCCTTCCCCACGGGATGGCTGTACCCAGCAATGCAGAGGCAGGTAATGGACATGTTTTATGAAAAATCCTTTTGCTAGGATTTTTCTCCTGAGAAGCCGAGAGGCCTCAGAAATTAAGTGTAAACAATAATTATCTGTTGCTGTGGAATGCAACAGGTGCATCTTTGATTGGTCTCATGTGTTTGTTTTTAATTAATGGCCAATCACAGTCCAGCTGTCTCGGACTCGCTGGTCAGTCACAAGATTTTATTATCATTCCATTCCTTTCCTTTCTTTGCTAGCCATCTGATGAAATCCTTTCTTCTATTATATTATTATAGATTTAATATAACATTTTATTTTAATGTAATACATATCATAACATAATAAATCAGCCTTCTGAAACATGGAGGCAAGATTCTCATCTCTTCCCTCATCCTGGGACCCCTGTGAACACCACCACATTTGGTGAGCCCCGAGTGAGGAACACTGCCACAGAGGCACTGCAAGGATGTGCTGTTTCAAACAAAGCTATACCCAAAGGTGAGCACTCAGCTGATTTTCACTGACAAAGCTGTAACAGAGTCGTACCTGGGTCCAAGCAGGTGAATTTGCAGCACTCCTTGGGGTCCTTGCGGTACTGCTGGCAGCCCTGGGGCCGCTCACACAGGGCGGCCACGCACATCTCGGGCTCCCCGTTGTGACACGTGCAGCTCAAACAGGGATCGTTCCCCTTGGGAGTGAAGTAGTAGCCTTCATCCACAATGTTGTCTTTGATATCAACACAGGTCTGGCCTAGAACAGACAGGCACAGCAATGTCCACGGAATCCAGCTTCATTTGTTGTGTTAAGTGATTTGTAAACATAAGCAGAGCACCAGTTAAAATCCTTGACATTGAAGAACTTTGAAAAAGGGTCTCCAGGGAGTGGGAAAGATAATGGATGGTCCCAGGGACACAGAGATGATTTTCAGCTCATTGACAAGGGGAGTTTTAGGTATTTAATGGAACTGACACACTTCCAACCATCCCCTCCAAGACAAAGGAAAGCAAGTGGTCTGAGAAGTTTAACCTCACTGCCCAAGCCTGCTGCAGCTCCCTTCCTCTTCCCTGGAATTAGGAAAAGCTGTATCTTTTCTAGATGAAATCTTTAGGCCTTTTAACAGGTCAGGACTTAAAAAGGGAGCCAGGCAATAGTACTTCCACTGTGCTAGCGGCATCAGTGGAAGCACCTGATCTCTGCCCAGCAGGGGAAGCTTAGCTGCCTTTTGCCCACTGACCTAAAAGCAGGTGCCAAAACCAGAGACAACAGTGCTGGGAGCTGGCAGCTGTACTGACTGCTCAGGGAGGATGGCCTGTTCCCTCCAGCCTATGCACAGTCAGCTGCTGGGGTCCAAAGGGAAGATAAGACTGGGAGAGACCTGAGGAGCTCAATCTCTGATCAAAGCAGAGTCAGCCATGACATCCCAATGGGTTGCTCAGGGTTTTATCTAATCTGGTCATAAAAACCTCTGAGGACAGAGGCTGCACAACTTCCCTGGCAGTCAGCTGCACCCTGTATAACCCTCAAGTTAAACAACTTTTCTCCTTGCAAAGAAGCACCATCTAGATCAGGTAACGTTTAAGATTACCTGATAATACTGCAAATATCTCTGCTAGTATCAAGGCTTTTGGAGTACAGGAATGCAGATACAGAAGATACAGAACAAAAGCCTTTTTTTTTTCCACTTTTAAGTCAGTCAGCTCCACTTGCCTTTCCCTTCTAGGTCTAATAATTAGACGGAAAGAATTTAGTAGAATTTGCTATACTCTAAAATAAGTGTTTCCTCATTTTAATGTGAAATTAATAACTTAAGAGCAATGTTTACTAACAAGGCATTTAAGAAAAAAACCAAAAAACTTTTTTTGCCCAAGTTTATTTTGGGGCTGATACAGCTGCCTAATGACTTTTTAGAAGAACTCTGTACTGTGTGACAGCCACACATTATAATTAATAAATTATAATTTATTAAAATCAAGCAGAAATATAACTCCACCCTTTTTTTCTCAATTCACTGGGCCAAAATTAGAAAGGGCAATGAAACAATTTCCAGCTACTTATTATATGCATATTTAAACAAACAATACAGTTAACACTGAACTGAACCCAACTTACTCCTTTTGCAGAGGAATGAAGCTTTCTTATAGCAGCTTTCAACATACCAGCCGTGGTAACCGTCGCGCCGGAGAGTTTGAGAAGAGTAATACTGGAACTGGGCACAGAAAACGTTTTCCTTTTCAGGCACACGCTTATCAAAATCAGGGACAGGGGGTAAAAACACTTCTGGAGAGCCTGGAACAAGATACATTGGCATTAGCAGCCTGTGGGTACGTAAAGCTTTAGAGAGGCTCTGTAACATCGCCCATTTCCTGTACACCAACTCCAATACAAAGAGTCCTCCAGCACCAGCTCCCATTACCAGCACTGCTCTGGGGGAGGGCAAACAGCTGGGAGGGAAGGGCTGACTCACACAGAAAAGAGGCTGCTGTTTTCAAAGTACTGGGTAATTCTGTCACTCTGAACCAGAAGTGATACTCCAACATCTCCACAAGTGCTGCTTCACAGAGCCCCATGGGGTTTGCCTGACAATAGTCATACACCTCTTCAAACCACGCTGAGTTTGGTCACAGTTGCTACCAAGTGGAGCAAGAACCCACACAGCAATTTTGTGCCTGGCACTCCATGCACCCACCAGTGCTTCCAAAGATGTGCATCCACCTGTGCAGCCCTCACAGAGCTGCTCCATGTTTGGGGGGACGCACTAGGGCATCCACAGTTTGGTGCTTTCAATCATGAAACAGCATCCTGATGGGCTCCAAACAGCGCAAAAGGTGTTGAGGGCATTTTCTGGAGGACTCATGTTCCACATGTCACAACAATAAATTAAAATTTTCAAGTTTTAGAAGCCTAAATCACTGTTCGAACAGGTATTAGAAATTCAGAGTCTGCATCAATAAAAGCCTAAGAGAAGTTTTTCACAAACTACTGAATGTTACTATGTACTTTACTTTGTAGAGGCATCTCTTTGGTAGATATAAAGCTTAAAAACAGAAGATTATATGTTAGTGAGAAGGTTTAAATTCATATAATGCATCAAATTAAATAAAACTCATGATAAAGTTATGATGATTTCTCTATAATTCATGCCTCTCTGTTGTGACCACTCTGTCAGCAGATGGCAGTGCAGTCAGCTTTCCAAAGAGCAAAGAAAGGTCCTTTTAAGGAGAATCTTTGCATTCATGTCTCAAAGGAAGTATTTTTCAAGACCCAACTGTTTGAAAATTCTGATCATAATTATGTGTCTGTACCTAAAGGAGAGTTTTCCTTCCAGATTATCCATGGATACTGAAAACTATCCGTGAGAAAAAACCTATTCAGATTAGTTTTCAAATGCTACACTGGAATTCACAATGCTGATGCTTAAAAAACAACATCTTTGTTATAATTTCTACATTACCTAAACCAGTACAGGAATTAAACACACAACTGTACACATAAGAGTTTGTATTATGATTTAGATCTCACTACTGAATTAGCTAATAATAAAAGGTGAAACATAGCTTTGCATTTTCAGCAGAGGGAGCTGCTTGTTTTGCAATTGAAAGGGTTTAGCCAGTGACACCCATCAAATTAATGTTCAGTTTTTCATATAAAAGGAGATATATTTCTGGGATTATGCAAATTCTGACATGGTTTAAGTAAACTACCTGAAAATACTTTAAAAAGAAAAAGTAAATTCTGCAAAACTCAAGTGTGTTTTTTTAGTACACAAAATTCTACCAATTTTTAAAAAGCTAAAACCTCCAAACATGCTACACTAGTCTGCAAATACTAGAACCAGGAATCAGCAGGTCATCTAAACATTCACCACAAAGAATGAGAAATCACAGAGAAATTCCCTTTCTCTCATTTAATCAAGGGGAAAACCCAAATAAACTGACATGTTCTTTCCATGCCAGCGTGAAAACCCATAAAACTTAAACTTCAAAATAAGATGTGTGTTGAGTATTAAACTCTTCCACTTCTACCCTCTGAAGCAAAGCAGTTCACCTATACTATTTCAACATTACCACTGAAAGAAGTCATGCTGTTCTTTCAAATCATATTCATGCTTTAATACAATTTTCATGGGCACTGAAGTAAGCAGCAATTTGAGAGACCCACCTTTATAAGCAACTTCCCAGTGACCTTCCATCACAGAGTGATTTCTGTAGGTGATCACATACTGATATCCCACCCAGAACCTGCAAATCAAGTTACATTCTAAAGATACAGGCCAAAAACACATTAACAAATTAAATTACACAGAACCTTCTAATGTCTTCCTATGTAAAAGCAATGTAGAGAGACTACAGTTGAGGAACAGAGGAAAATACTTGATAAAATACTTATTAGTTTTCTAGGTTTACAAATTATAACTGACTGTGTCCTTTATTTCTACTCATAAACACCACCTTATTCTGTTGTCATGGCAGCATTTCAGTATCTCAAAACCAAAATCACACAGCAGCATCCAGAAGTCAAGTATTTCTGAACATAAACAACCTAGGTCAGACTGTTCTGGATCAAACCATTTAACTCTTCACAGACAGAAAAAACACCACTACTCAGCCACTCCTGGTGATCTGACACGGCAGCCCAGGAGTGACAAAAAACCCATACACAGAAAAAGGAGGAACTGTTTGTTGTGAACTAACAGAAAGAAATATTTAAAACCACTCCACCACAGTAGTTGCAACTCAAAAAGCCTTTTTACTTCATTCCTATCTCAAAGTTGCTCTTTGTTAGAGCTACAGGTACATCATAGAAATCAAAATTTTGTTGAAAAATTTAAATAATTATTTTTATACACAGCAGTGCGGCAGCAGTCATTGTTAAATCCACCTTCCTGATGCAGCTCAAGAATACCTCTACCTTGCTAAGACAAGCTAAAGATAAGAAGACTCTGCTGATAAAAAGACTCTGCTGAATTGAATTATCTGTTAATAATTATTAAAATATAAACTACAGATGGGGCACTGCCTAACAGCCAACCAGCACGTTCACACTGGCTTATTCACCTGATGTAAATTTTATCATTAGATTTTCTACACAAACCGAACCACCAGTATTTGTAGCACACAGAAACCATTCTCTGTAAACATAAGATCTTTGTCCTTTTCTTCCTACTCACCTACGGTTGTTTTCCTCTCCCAGCTTTTCTTCCAAGCTCCACTCCTGTGCCAGGATGAAGCTGAGCTCCTGGTCTGCAGTGAAGGTGGCGAGGGACCCGTTCACCTGCTGACATGTCTGCACAGCATCCCAGTAGTTCTCCCCATTTAAATACAACCTGTAACAGCTGGCTGTGCCCTCATAGTGCTGCCATCCTGTTGGGCACTTTCCTAGGAAACATGAAGAATAGAAGGGAAACCATTCCCCCCAAATTAGGACCTTTAAGGTAATGCATCCTAATCAATTATCACTGGGGCACGTACACACAGTAGTGTGTGCACTTCACCTCCGGAGGAGGAGGTGCACACATTACAGATCCCTGAAGAGTTACTTCACTACAGTTTCTGATAATTTACATGTTTTTAAAAAGATTAAGCTCCTAGTAAAATTTCATCACATTGTCACAGCCTTTAAAATCTTTAATTAAGACTGACCATCTACTGTGGAACACATTTCCCTGCACATCTTTATAAAACCAATAAATTTGATTAATTCAAGCAAAAACAAGCAGCACAAAAACCCCGGAGGTGGCCAATTTAATGACTGTCTTTCTTTAAGATGATTAGCAATACATTCAAGGTGCTGTGAAGTGTTCAACCTACTCTTACAGTCTCAATAGTATTCATATAATCCTGCCCCCAAGAGTGAATCATTGAAGGCGATAGAAGTTCTGGGGAAATTCCTGGTTGCTTTGTATAAATCACCACTGTAAGACAGATCTTTAGGAAATAAGAAGGTGAACTGCTGTCTCTGCTTTCTCTCAATTAACTCAACTAAGGGAACCTGAAACAAAAGTCTTGTAGCATTTCTGGATGACACAGGCCCATGGGCTAACAGAAAGAATCACAGGACAGGAGGATGACATTTAAACTTGCACTATTAATTTTGCATTGCCTAAGAAACTTAAAATTCAGAAACTGTTTTCTGTTCATTGCATTTCACAGTTCTGTTCTCAAGCCTCTTTATTCTGTTTTGTTTCTTTTGGTTTTTTTATCCATTTTTATTATGCAATGAGTTGTAACAGAAGGACATATATAAAAGAAATGCACAAACACCTGAAATAGCATTGCAAGTAAAAGTTTGGTCAAAAATCTATGAAACAGAAAAGACTACTACTTTTTAATTTAAAAATAGCCTAAATTTGTAAATTAATTAGCAGAGAGATGGCCCAGATTTCCCAGTCTGCAACTTACTGCCGAAGCGGACGGGCTGAGCCACGTTGACGGTGTGGAAGCGGGTGGTGTCTGCTCCTCTCCCCCAGCTGTGCCTCGAGTCCATGTTCTCCTTCCCATGGTAAGTTCTCTGGTCCCCTGTCAAGCCTGGGGACCAGGAGGAATAGTTACTACTGGTGAAAGATGCAAGCAAAGGCAGATTTCGTTTTATTAAACTTTCTCTGGGTTTTAATTCAAGACGTATGTGATACCAGACTCGGGTAAGCAAAGATGGCAGGTCCCTGCAGTAACAGCTTGGCCATTTTACTCAGCAGGTAACTGAAATACCTTCTGAAAAGAACCAAGAAGCCATTACACACTCGTGCAGGGTAAATTAAATATTTTGGCAGATTCTCACCAGCCTGCAATTGCACACAGGACCTGCTGCTCATCATTTCAACTGCTGCAGCAAATGCATCACTCCCAGCACATTGTACCTGCTCCTGTTTACAGAACTACCCACTCCCCAGCTGCTCTGTTCCTCAGCTGTGTGTTCAAGGACATAAGACAACTCCTCCAATACATTTTCCAACACATGCTCTGAGAGGTAGGATGTAATTAAAACCAGGAAAGGAGACTGATCTTCAGCCAGAAGAACGAGGCTTTTTTTATTCACTCTCAAGCTTCTAAAGGAAAAGTTAGTTGATGACTTCTGAAATAAGCCCCCACATCCCCTAATCTCAGTGTCAGGGTTAACAGGTGTACATGACCACCTGATTCAGTAACTTAGGAAGAACACAGTGTAAGATGCTATTCAAGAAAAGGGGCTGGAGGGCTCCATGTGCCTACCAGGAGTAAATAAGGAGCACCCAGTTCAGGTGGAGGCAGGGTGGGCCATAGCCATCACAACTAGCAGGAAGGCTGGCATGGTGGTGGGGAGAAACGTTAGAGAAAGATGGAGGTGGGCACCAAGAATGATTAATGTGGAAACAAGAGATTAACCTTGAAAAGAGAGAAATTAACACCCAACACTATAAGCATTATAAATATCTGCTTGTATGTTACTTAATACTACTAGATGTTATTGAAGGTAATAGGGTTTAACCAGCACAGTGCTATGTAGACATTCATTTCTGTATAAAAAATCTGCTTATTTTCCTTTAAAGCTGATTAGCTCCATTTAGCCTCACTAAACCAAACAAACAAAGACATGATCCCAAATAAAGAGAAGCTACACAGTCTTCTTCAACATCTGTTTGAAATATATATGAAACCATGTCAATAAAACTTTCTCTTTTTGGACTACCTTTGGAAAGCAAGAGGTCCACAGCAATTTCATGGTATATAAACCCTGAGCTGCAGGCTGTTCACTGCATTACCTGGGGGAAAGACTTCCACGAGACCCAACATCAAACAGTGCACTCCATGGAACAAATGTAGGCACTGATGAGCAAAACAAATCCCAAGCTGGAGCCCAGGAACAGCAGAGTCGCTCTGCACTCATCTGTCCCTAGCATACTGAGTTGGCCCTGGGTTAATGGGATAAGCAAGGGCTATTTAATTATCACATTATCCTAGGAATTACATGTCTACAGAGATCACCCATTAAGGAATGGCTGTGCATAATACACTCACATGGCCTTACAGGAATAAAGCAGAAATTCTGGTGCTCAGTATTAGAATGTTATCTATAACAGGCAAGAAGTCAGTGCCAAGAAACTCAGCATACACTTCAAAGGACACAAAACAGTAAAATTATTTGACAGTGAAGATTACTGATTTTTTATTACTTTAAAGGCTAATCTATTTTTAGTTTTAGAAACTGTTTTTAATCCTAACGGTTCAGTAGCACTATTTACACTATGATTTTCAGAGCGATACTGAGACACTGAAAAAGCAAATCTTCAATTATAGCAAGGCTTTAAAAATAACACTAACCAATGCAGACTGCTTTATCAAATTCCACTGAGCTCAGCATGGGGAGCTCTATTTTCCCATGGCATTAAATGGTAGCAGCTAAACCCAAAGAACCAGTCAGAACCAAACACATGAAGAATCAGTTCCCTCTCAGAAGTGAGAGCAGATGCAGCACCATATGGCTGACCCTCCGCAGCTAAACAGAACGCCCACGAGGACTTAACAATTTATCTCCCCCAGGAATAAAACCAAAGTTCACAGGTTTTAACATGCAAGGTTAAGGAAGGGTTACACAGGCTAACATCCTAAATTAACAGAATTTATGCCAGATGCTTTGAAAAACAGCTACACAGATCCCGCACAAAGAGAGTTCCATCACTTCCACCCAGGAAGCAGAACTCATTCCTTCCTCAGCATCTGCCCTTGTCAGCAGATTCACGCTGAAACCAGGACTGAAGTGGCACAAAGCAGTCACCACAAGCCACTTCTTCAAGCCCAACGCTGTCAGCTGCTTAATAAACTGGTGCTCTTCAAATATTAAATTGCTTCTATTTGACCTGAATATCTGTCTCCCAAGAAAAGCAACGATGACAACTTTTTCCAGGGCAATAAAGAGATGCTAACAAGCCTCTAAGTCACTTGACTGCCATGAAAAGATGTTGCAGATTCTGGTGGCAAAGGTGTAATTGGACTGGATTTCTATTCCACTTCTGCAATACTCTGCAGAAGAATTTTATGTGCTGTTCCTACTTCCTTTTTACAAATAATTTTATCTTTAAAAATAAATTAGAGTGTCATGGACTCATCTTTAGATAACAACTTAACTCAAAAGATCAGAACCTAACTCTGAGTGTTTCACAAAGGAAAAGCCATCACTTTCAGTGCTTACACTTCATATCCTGAAAAGAAATGAAATTTTGAAGATCAGTTATTTTCCAAGATCTTTATTCTTCTAAATACTACAATCACAGGCAATAACACCAACAGTGGTATTTTTACTAGCCAAGACAGATAGAGATCTGTTTCTTTGACTTTATATAATTACTCCAGAAATGTCATTTGCTGGCTAGTCGGTGCAGAAAATGAAAAAATGGGTTCAAGGAAGAACCCATGGGGCACTATTTTTTTTCACTCTTTGAATATTAAAGTAGTGAACACAAGCATCTTCCAATGCATTTCCCAATTGATCAAGTCATGATTAGTATTCACCCAGCTCCTTCCAATTTATAGTTGCTATCTAATTCACTCCAGCACAATTATAGTCTAAGTATAGGGCTATCCATCAGGAGAAAGTTGTCTAACAGTGGTGATTCTGTGGCTATTTCCAGTTGTTTAAAACTTGAAGCTACAAATTCAGAAAGGAAGTCTGCCATGCTGATGGCTCCTTCTACCTTTTGGAAAACTGTGTCACAGATGTCAAGTCACTCAAGCAAATCCCTTCATAAGGATGGATGTAATATGTCAAATTATGTCAAAATTAAACTGCCTGTGAAACAACCAGGTCTTGCCATATCTTATTAGTTCCAAGATTTGAGTTGTTCCTGTTTAAACACACAAAATTTACATAAAAGCTGCCTTGTCCCCAAAGCTTCAAATTTTCTGTCCAGCATATTACTGAAAGTTTAGAAAGCTTCTAATTCCATCTGGTAATTTGAGAGGTGAGAGAACTTCAAGATTAAGTCCAGTTTTGTGCCTCAGTATTTGAAAATGTAGTTCAGAAGCTCCTAGAGAGGAGTGATTCTTCTCAGACCAAGCAGCTCCATGCTGTGTGTTATCAACTGCATTGTGCAAGGACATCAATGCCAAGCAAGAACAGCATCCTGCTGTGCTGAGTGCTATTCAAAGTAATGGACTGGCAGAAAACAGCTTATAATTTAAACACCACAAGGTAGGGTAAAAAAAATAGGAGTTCAGCAAGAGCTCAGAAAGGTGTGGAAATGTTCAGAGGTTTTTATCATTAATACCTAGGTTTTAAAAAAGAGATGTACTAAAAAGTGCACAAATGTCAAGAGTCACTTCAAGCATACAAAACGTCCTTGGTGAAACAAAACACAAAGCTGTTTTTGATCACTTCAAAACAGGTTACTGCAGCTGCTGCTTCATCAGAAGGGAAAGATGTGAAACTGATATGGATAGGATTTATGAAGGGCACTCGAATTTAAGACATCCATTTTCATTCATGGGCGACAGAAAAAAACATCAAGCCTGCAGTTTGGGAGGAAAACACAGCCAGAGCTATACTAAACCCTGCTCTGCTCAGCTTCCTGAAATGAGTTACACCAGAAGGCCTGCAAAGAAGGCAGGATGTCTGCAGAAGCTGATCTGATATTCTGGTAGAAGCAAAGCTGGAAATCCAATAAGCAGTAAAAGGTAAACTGCAGATCCCTTCCCTCTTATGGGTTTAAATACAGAACTAACTTTTATAGAGGTGAAAAAGTTGTGTTTCTACTTTGATTGCTTGTGTAGAAACATGAGAGAAAGTGATTAGAAAGAATAAATTCCATTTGTAAAAGTCTTTGTTGAAGATATTAATGCCTGTTGCTACCATTTCATAAAATACACCACTTTGGGATAAACTATTTTTAGGATCAATTACTGTTGACATGGAAAAGTCCACAAATTTCTTGAAGCTCCACTGCTTAAGCAGAAGCGAGTCACAGGCACATGCTACATAATGAACCCTCCCAGCAATTTTTAGTATTGCTCACAGGAGCAGGCAGACACTGGTTTTAGTCTGTCAGAGAGATGGATTGAGGGTAATCACTGCAGCAGATTCCACTGACACATGGGTGCCTAGTGGGAAGGGCAGGGGGAACAGTACTTTGCACGTGGAAAATTTGTGACTGAGAGGAATTCCATGTTTTAAAGGAAAATGGTCATTATGATAAGAGACAGTGAGAATAAAAAACAGCTATAATGACAATCTTCAGAGAAATATAGCAAAAAATAGGCATCTCACACACTTCCTCTGATTGTCAATGAATTAAATGTCTTACTTAATTGTGTTCTGAAAAAACTGCCAGAAGAAATTCAAACAAAGATTCTTACAATTTGGAATGTTACTTGCACTTCAGCCAATATATGATTACCAAACTAATTTATTAATTATGGATGCTCTACTTTTAATAGGACCTTTGTTACTAACACAAATTAAATTAGACCTAAAAAAGATGAACCAACAGTGGCAAACAACTTACAATGGCTTTGTAACAAACCTTTCAAAACACCAACATGTCTAAGGAGTCCCTGAAACACACTTTTAATGCCGCCACAAAACCCTAATTCACTGCCATTGATCTGTTCTGAGTTGCTCATGTTGGAGTGTGCCATTAGTGGCTCAAAGGCTGAAGATTAACAAGCTTCACAACCAGATTCAGGGCCCTTTCTTGCATGCTTTCTTTTCATGCTTCAGAGAGTTTTCATGCCTTTTAATTTAAAGATGCTATAATTCTCCAAGTTTCACAAGTCCAGGTGGCTTCACTAACTAGTTCTTTTAGTCTTCAGACCGCCTTTATTGAAGGGAAGAACATTTTAATTAAAGTATTTACATTTAGCTGAATCATCACACAACTGCTCATCTAATCCAAAGGCATTTTCTACACTTAAAGCTGCATCATTTCTTGTTAATTCAGTGGCCAAAGCAGAAAGTTGCCACTCCTGAGTATGACTGTGTTACTATTATTAGGAGCATTAGCTCCCCATCAATGTACCAAGACAGTCTCTCCTGTGACTGTCACATCTGTACTGCTTTCCTCAACACAAACTCACTGCTCTTTCAAACTGATTCTGCCCTCAGGTTTACTTCCATTGATGCTACTCCTCTTTATGCTCCAGCACAGCATTTCCATGTACACCAACCTCTTCTATTGCTGACAGCTCTGAATGACCCCTGCCCTTCAACACCCACTGCAGGTCATCATGCAATCCCACCAAGTTCATTGTTACAGGTGTAATAGTTTCTACATCCTACACGAGTAGTTCTTGTTCCTCTCGTTTGCTGGCTGCACTCCTCACATTACTGTGCAAATATCTCAGTTCTTTCACAAACACCACACCTGCTTTCTGGCTGTTTTACTGAGCACAGCCTTTTCACCAATTACTTATCTAATTATTCCTCTCATCAAGTGGAATACTTTCCTCTCTCTGCTGTCCAGCATTTTCCCCTCTGGTATTTACAGACATTATTCTTCTCTTCATGCACATAGACATGGTGGTGAATCAAGTCTCTCCCACATTTAATTTCTTTAACCTTCAAGCTCTTCTCATCATGTCAGGCTAGACAGTCTACACCCCAAACACAACACCAGAACCCACGTATTGAGAAGTGTTACTCCCATAAAATCCTCCTCCTATCAATATACCAAACATTCTTTGGAACTCCAGTCCTTAGTCAACACCATCCTGGTGCATACTCCAGGCAATAACTTAAGTTGCTGACTAATACAACAGGAACAGGAGAAGATAAAAATAGTTTTCTATTAATGTGGAAGTTCAAATGTTCCCACAAGCAAAGTCTTCAATGCTTTTTGAGTAAATCCAAACACTAACATGACTCTGCCTTGCCCTAGCCACTGAATTCCATTATACTCCAGAATTTTATTAGGTCCATAGCTTTTTTACATTTGGCCAAAGTTAGCTAAAAAGGAAGAATAACAGCACAGCTATAAAAGCAATTTTCTTTAGGACATCCACATTGTAAAGAATATCCTTAAATAGACTATAAATGGCAGAGCTTAATTTTCAGTGTCAGAACAAACTATCAACTGTTTTTCCCCTTTACTGCACATTCTCACACACACACACTAACAAAAAGTTTTTTTGAAAGAGCACTGACATTCTTTCAATTATTTGTCCATAGTACACACTGGGGAGATGGCTAACTCTAGCACAGTTTCAAAGTTTGAATGTTAGATTTATTTCTCCAATTCCTTTAGATAATTTGAATGTTTAAAAGAATTTGTTGCTGTAAAACATCAATGTTACTATTTTGTAGCACCTCTCTGAAACAGCTGAGAACTCAGAATGATGAATGCTGTTATGGCAATGCCACAGAGTTCACATGATTCTCTGCCAAGAAAACATAGTAGTTCACTGGAAAAGAACTTCTTAAAACAGATTTTGAATGTAATTTAGTCACGCTGTAAAGATAAAAAGTTTTCAATTGTGCCACAGTTGAATTCATGCTTTCAGATACCTGTCTCATTGTTCTTAACAGAAAAAAAAATTACAGGTCAATTCACTTTTAACATCCACAGAAAGAGCTGCACTAGCCTGTTTTTCAAGAACAACTGAAAACATTCAAATTTGTGATTGTACAGTCACAATATTTCTTTGCCTCTTTTTCAGCACAGCTCAGCATCCAGTAGCTTTAGCAGAGATCCACTGCTGGTGACAGGCTCCTCAAAGCATCCAGCCATAGGAGCTTATGAAGTGCAAATACACCAGCTTGTGTGGCAGAACAAAGTTCTCCACTTAAGCACAAGAAGCATAATCAGAACAGGGAGCAATAAAACAACTCTCTACCCGAGTCCAGCAATGTCACCCAGCACTGTCTGAGTGATATACAACCAAATCAGTAATTCCAAATTTAACCACAGGCTTATGTGTCATTTCAGTTTAACTGCAACATTTTTTCCTTGTCAGGAGAGTCTCTTTTTAGACCACAAACTCTCCTCATCTTCAGGATACCTGCTCTGACCATAAGAACGGAAGGATAATTCAGACAAGCAAAAAACTGTTTGCAGTATTAGCTGCTCAAAATGAAGAGAAGCCAACTCAGTCTTTGTTAATAATGGGTACAGTTCCACCAAGCAATCACCAATCTTTTTTTTTTTTTTCAAATAAAAAGAACCAAACAACCTTGTTAGGAAAATTAATCCACAAACACTAGAGGTTTATGTCCAAAAAGGAGACAGAGGAGTCCTTTCTGGCTCTATTCAAATAAAGGGAGAGGCCATGGGTCATTCCCCTGGGATCTCTCAGATTTTTGGAGGACGCAGCCTCCTTTTTATCCAAATTTCCCAGCCACATTTCCCTTCTCTCCTTCCCTATTGGCTGAGGTACTTGAGAGATACACACTTCCCAATACACCTGATACAGAAGATTTCCCTCTAATGTATACCCCTTCCTTTTAATTTTTAATTCTTACTCAATTTAGGGGTTTTTCTTCCCCATTGTTTCTTTCATCTTTCAATGTCTTATTTTGTTTATCAGCAAACCTAAAGTTGATTTGCAAAAGCAAATATCTTTTTCCATTCATCAATCAGTGGAATCCTTCTCAATATTTATTTTATCTCCCAGTGCTAGTTTTATCCACCAGCAGACCCACAGCTTGTTTGTAAAGACAAATCCACTACTCCTCTCAACCTGAAAAAGGCAAAGTACTGCTGCACAGTAAGCTGGTACAGGGCTGAGCAGTCTCTTGGATTTACCTACCTGTACAGTCAACTTCATCACTCTCATCCTCGCAGGTGGGGCGCCCATCACACTTCCAGTCTGAGGGGATGCACTGAATGGTCCCACTCCGACACGCAAACTGCCCCGGGGTGCAGCGCAGCTCTGGCAAGAGGGAAAAATGGTGCTGTGTTTGAAATGTTATCTATTCTCGCAAATTTATACATATATTAATCATCTGTCATGTCATGGATCACTGAAGCGTAACAGATAAAATCTCTGGTTAACGCAGCCTGTTAAAAACTCCTTCAGCTCAGATCACTTCATGCCTTAAACTGCATGTTTGTGGTTATAACAGACAGGAGGGGATGGGAAATCATTCTCTCAAGACATCTGTGGTAAAACCTTACTGATAAAGATAGCCTGTGAGCAGCTATTACCACAACATTACCCATTTGCTTCTTGTGGGGCACTGAGGAGTGCTTGTTCCATTTTCCCAGAGCTGAAGTTCAACACAAATATGCTTCGATAGGTGAGCACTGCATTATGCAACAGCCTCAGAATCCTATTTCCATTCCAACCACTGCATATGCCAGAACCCACCAGACTTGCACAAATGCCCAATCTGATTTAGAGACATTTCACAGAACTACTTGTAACACAATATCTATATCCATGAACCTGTTTTCACTTTCTAGCTTCAGCTCTTTTGTAGAATTTCTCCATGTGAATATATCCTTTACTAGAAACTGTCACTATCTGCAAACATGTTGCTCCTGCTTCTGTGAGTTCACTGCCTACTTGCCATCACTACACTGTCACACCTAATTAGCATTATAAAAAGTACAACTTTTTTAAAACCTTTTCTTTTCAATTTCATCTATCAAATGCCAGAACCTAATAACTCAACTTCATTTTATGTCCCTCAAAACATTTTGCAGGGAATAAAAAGGTCTGTCTACAAAAGTGAACAATTCTAAGCTTGTTCACAGCCAGTCTGTCAGTGCCAGCACCATGCACAGGCTCACTTTTGCACCTAACCATCATTGTCCATCTTTCTTCTAAACAGTGATTGTCAATTTACCAACCATTGTTTTTGAGCAATTTAGCACATTTTCCTCTCAGTGAGCTGCACTAATCCCAGGTAATTTATGTCTAGAGAATAAGTAGCTTTTTAAACAGAAAAAAAAAGTTTATATGCAAAACATACTGATTTTGAATGGATCCAGTAGGCAACTGTCTTGCAGAAGGAAATCACTAAAAGAGAATTTAAAATACAGGTGTGCATTCTCTCATCCACAGTTTACCACATAAGAGCAGACTGTAATTGCAATTGTTTCTTCTTGAAACACATGCCTAAGCTAAATCAAGACAGAGGTCACATTTAATGTTCAAACAACATGACTGGTTGTAATAAACCCAGTCACCAGGCACTCTGAATGAAAGCTGTACACATACACCTGGTAATTGGTATAACATATTGATAACAGGCTTCTAATTCCATGCTAGACTAAAATCCAGTCCTACTACTGGTTCCTCTGTAAAGCACAGACCTGCTCTTCTAGAAGAATAAAAGCAGGCACATCCTCTTAGCAACCACCTACTCAGAGCAAACATTCAGGTCACAAGATGCTAAGAACTCACACGGACCTGCCAGACTACTGAGGGCAACAACAGACCTGACAGCAAAACCAGTGTTCTCACCCATTTAGAGCTTTACTCAGCCCAAACAGAAAAAACAAAATAACCAGTCATAATGACTTCCCCCTCAGACAAAAAAATTGCATAATTTATTTAGCCTGAAGAGAGAAAGAGGAATTAAATGGTTGGGGGTGGGGGGGGGAGCTGTGTAAAAAATAAGAGCAAAAGCTTCACTTACCCAGTATAGTAAGAGAGAAAATTTAAAATCTATCTTTAAGCTAAATAATTTCAAATCTAATATCTATGAGTTAATTAAATCTCCTTCTAAACTTAGAGGGAAAACCCAACAACACAGAAACCACCAAATCAAACAAATACAAAACCTCAAGCTGAAATGGAAAGCACTCAGATTCCAAGCCCACAGAAGACAACATTTGGTAAATGATTGCAGCTTCTTTCACCACTTTTGCACAAGGTCAGCACACAGTGGGAGGTGCCTTAGAAAGTCTTGCTACTACAGTTTCAAGTACAGAATTTACACCAGGACCTGTGGGAGATCTTTCAACACATCCAAGACCATTCTCAGCCCAGCTCCAGGTTTGCACTGCATCCACCCATAGTTATGACAAAATTCAGTACTTTAAAATAAACTTTTTTCTTTTGCTGCGTATTTTCAATGGAATTCACACATTCACCCTGTGCACAAAGTTATTCTGCAGCCTTCTGGCTTCACATGCAGCATCCACCAGGAATGCCAACCTGCACAAGGGAGAAACAGTCAAGAATACTTCTGTCTGTCTGCAATTTCATACATACTATTTTATGTACAATTACATATGACTGGTTCAGATAAAAGGATGACTCCATGTCAGCATTATGGGCATTAAAAAAATGCCAGCTACATACTGTAATGTCATGACTTCCTGTGCTAGAGACACTCCTCTCTGAAGAATGTGGATACATGGAAGAGTACAAAACATTTCTAGTAAAGCACCTTTCAGACCAGCTGTACCACTGTTCCCAATGGAGATCATGCTGTCAGATGCACTAATTATTTCAGACCAAGGAACATGAACTGCTATGCAATTCTGATGCAGAGGGGGGAAATGTGATACAAAGAAATACTGTGAAATTAAAATCTCTGTCAATAAGCCCTCCTAAGCCATCCCAACCAATAGCCATCAGCAGTAAGATACAGACATAAAAATAGATGGAAATCTACAACCAAGCTGTAAGATACTTAGCCCAGGAATGGAGATATTTGGGAGAGGCAAGGATGCACAGGGTATGTGCTGGTCTCCAGAACCCTGTGAAACAATTCATGTCAGGAGCCTATTTTTAAGTTAAAACAGCAGATAAATGAAAACATCTCAAGCCCATCTCCACCACAGAAAAGGGAAGTCACACTGCCAGCAGCAGGACAAGAGTCAGGAAGATGGATGGGCAGTACTGAATAGTACAACATTATGTGACCATCCATCTTTCCTGGAATGCAAGTAATCACTTAACACGTGGTCAGACTTTGTACTTTCCAGGAGTGTGGTAAATAAAAACTGTTTCTTCACCCATATATTTTCAGTTCTTTTGAAGAATAGCAAAGATTACAAAAATATCAGTACATTTCTGTCCTTAAAGCCAGATATCCCTCACAGTTCACAGCTGTTGATGGTAATTCACAGCAAGAAAGGATGAAGAATGTACCTTAAACTATCACCTCCACACAGCACTAAAACCATACTTTCTACCAGCTGTTTAATGCAGGAACATTTCATATTTTCAAAATCATTAGTAAATATGTAATGGCACAAGTTCAGCTAAGAGCAAGCAGCTGTTGGAGCAGAAGCACAGAACAACATTAAGCCAAGGGCATCAACAATTGCCTCGAGGTGAAAATGTGGAAATGCAACCTCTCCCAGCACTCACATATGATGTGATGAGTGACATCAGCACTATAATGATTCACATGTGCAATTCTAACATAAAAGGCTTCTTTTTCTTTTCAGCATCAGATGCAGTCTTTGCTATGCTACAAGATGAAATTTAGTACACTGAAACCTTATTGCAGAACAATTAAATTTATCTGGCATTTGCTGGGAAGAAAGGAGACAACAACAACACTGAAAATAGCAGCAATTGTAGTTTTTGCACTATACAGATTACAAAACATCACAAAGTTCAGGCAGTGTGAGAACATGAAAACACTTGAAGCAGTGAGCTGTCATGATAGTCTCTTCATTTCACTACCTCAGAGCACTCCTACAACATTAACCCTCAACCAACCAGTGCATCCTCATGGCACAGTTACAACAAAGTACAGAAAAACTCAGGAGTTTGCCAAAGGCTCCAGACAAGATGAAGCTGCAGGAAAACAGCTGTCCTGACTGCTGGCTCTGTGCTTTCATGATGACACTGGGTTTATTCCCCAGACCCCAAGCAAGCTGCTCGTTCACCAGCACACCTGCACCTGAACAAATGTCTGTCAGAAATATTAAGTAACAACAGTGTGTTCTCTGGTAACACTTCACCCGTTTCTCTACTATAAACTGGACACAGAAAACAAGAAATTCCTTAACTTGATTTAAAAAGAGAAGAAAAACTGAAATCAGATTCAGACCATCAATTCTACAAGCTAAATATATAACCCAAGATAAAACTTACTGTCAAATGATTGCCCAAAAAAACGTATACCAACTTGCTTGGACATGTTATTAGATAATGTAACTCATCCACAAGTCACTCATCTGAAAGAAGTCTTACCAATTTAAAAGAAAACTTACAAAACAGTTGGAAATTTATTTCATCAAACCAGAAATGACAAGATTATAAATCAATTTAAGCACTGCCATACAAACAAGAGGCCTCCTTCTGCTTTAGCTGTCACATATTTTTCTAAGCTAGCCAGCAGCAAAACCAACAAGATTTTTGACTAACAGAAAAACTGAGGTTTCATACAGGAAAAACCTCATCTTTCAAGGTGGTTGTTTACATGCTCACAGAGAGCTTTTGTTCTGAAGATTTTGCCCACTGCATGTTGAATGCTAGGTGTTTCACAGCACTCGTGTATTTCAACACAGGGGTCAACTAGCTTTTTGAATTTTCTTTACAGCAGGACAGTTTCCTGATTTTCTGCAAAGTACTCAAAAAAAAAAAAAACCAAACACATTTACAAGAAGCATTATCCACAGGAAGGACATCATGATAGGTAATAAAACACACACACACATGCTCCCTCTAATTTCCAGCCAGCTTCATCTGTTTCACAAAACAAACAGATTTTGACCACTAGAGAATGATCCAGGAAGCCCTTTCAGGTTTAACAACCTCATGCACTCCCTCTGTGTAATTGAGAACATTTTCCTCCTGGAGCCCAAGCACTGAGAGCTGCAGTGCATCCTCCCTGAGCAGATGCACTCTGGTCACTGAGCTGCCCTGAGCATTACACGTCCTGAAACCTGAATTTTCTGCATCATTTTTAAAGACTTTTGAAGTTCATTTGGACTAAGACACCTCCTGCTCACATCTAA